ATATCTAATTATGTCCGTTACTGGCTTAGTATGATTATATCTAATTATGTCCGTTACTGTCGTAGTATGATTATATCTAATTATGTCCGTTACTGGCGTAGTATGATTATATCTAATTATGTCCGTTACTGTCGTAGTATGATTATATCTAATTATGTCCGTTACTGGCGTAGTATGATTATATCTAATTATCTTCGTTACTGGCGTAGTATGATTATATCTAATTATGTCCGTTACTGGCGTAGTGTGATTATATCTAATTATGTCCGTTACTGGCGTAGTGTGATTATATCTAATTATGTCCGTTACTGGCGTAGTGTGATTATATCTAATTATGTCCATTACTGGCGTAGTGTGATTATATCTAATTATGTCCGTTACTGGCGTAGTGTGATTATATCTAATTATGTCCATTACTGGCGTAGTATGATTATATCTAATTATGTCCGTTACTGGCGTAGTATGATTATATCTAATTATGTCCGTTACTGGCGAAGTGTTCCGCTCAATACAGAGTTCGCCAGGCTGCTGGGACACAACAAACATTTTGTGGCGAATGTAGCGTGGTTTAACAACTATTATACGCTACGAAGTTAAATGGGTATCTATTAAAAAGCAGCTATTATATACACTTATTATTCTTCAAAAATCACTAAGGGACTGAATAAAGTACGTAATGTTAAAAACACAATAAGCTTAATATTCGCCGGGTTAGAAAAGGCATATACAATATACTAACAAACGTTGTTGTAACAAAGGGCTTATTCATTTAAGTATTGTCCCAAACCTCAAACTATAGAGATTAGAAATTCTTCATTAAGAAAGGAATTATTTAAGTTTATTAGTTTTTATATTTTGAACAAGACCTGATGAACAATTAGCGTGGCTTCCTTATATATGAATTTCATTCTGTTTTATTTTAATTCTCAGGAGAATACACAGTGTTTGCACCTACAAATGAAGCTGTAGCCTCGCTTCCAGAGACCATTCAAACGTCAGTTCGGGATAACCCAGATCGTCTTCGCCCAATTGTTAAATATCACATATCTCCATCAATAATTCAACCAAACCAGACCCAAAATGAGCAGACTGTGACAACTCTGGCTCAGGACAAAAATATACGGTTCAACTACTATCAGAATGGAAGTGTAAGTTTTATGTTTTGTCATAAGACATGACATCCTCCTAACGTTCTGAAAGTGTATTAAGCCTAATCAGTGTTTTTCAAGACAGCAAGTTGATGAGTTGAAACGTTTTATGTTACTTTTACAGTTTTTACGTTGTTTAAAGTTATAAGTCATTGTTTTACCTCAGATCGTAAGGAATGTTAAGAAGGTAGAGTCACTAAACCTTTCAGGATTAGTCTTTTAAAAATTTAAATGTAGTGATATTTTTTTAAAAAATTTATATATTGTCATTTAGTCAAATTAAACAAACTATTATTTGTTCAAGTTAATAACGGCAGGTGGGGCTACCATCGGCGATATCAGACGATTCGGTAATATAGTAATAATTGTCATCAACCGTGTGCTCTATGGACCGCAAGGAAACATCAACACCATTGTTTCCAGTTCTCCTATCCTCAAGGACTTAAGTCGGTTCATCGAGTTGATTGATCTTCAAGATCACTTACAAGGTAATTTTATATTGTGTATTATCAAGTAAATATAAACTATGCCATTATTTGCTTGTTTCTGTATTTTTTATTTTGTTTTACTGTTAACATTTTCTGCTGTGTAAATTATTACAAACTCACGTCTTATATTTAAACACTTTGTATGTAAAAGAAGAAGGAATCCTCAACAGCCGCAGCAATTGAAATTCTTTTAGGCACCATTAGAGTAAATTGATCTATGAGTCCTTGGGCGTGGTCAAATACATGAATCGAAAGGGTTTGACCTCCTGAGTCCAAAACTGTAATTACATCTCAATCGGTCAAGAGATGACGAAGCTATGAGCTAAAAGTTTGCACTTGGAAAAAAAAACTCGAAGCCATTCTATGAGCCGCTATACCACGGCTAACAAAGTTTGTGTTTTAAAAGAGTTAAAATACTTTTTTTTTCAAATACACTAATATTTCAAATGTAAAAACCTAGAAACCACTCATGTTAAAAACATTAGTTATTTTTTGTTTTTTCAACATCGGATAAAATGAGTTACACTAAAAAGTAACACCTTAAGCAATCTCAACTACACTCACTTCAGAGATTCCTTAGCAAAAACTGCTGTTATTGGTTTGTTTTGTTGTTAAGCGCAAAGCTACAGAATGGGCTATCGGTGTTATACCACCACGGGTATCGAAACCCGGTTCTTAGCACTATAATCCTTCAGACTTGCCGCTGAGCCACCGGGGGCACTGCTATTAGCAACTTGGTTGTTATTAAGCACCTAGCTATGCAATGGACTATTTGTGCTCTGCCTACCACGGGAATCGAAACCTGAATTTTAGCATCGTAAACCTGCTGAGTTCCTGGTGGGAGCGCTATTGGAAACGCTAGAGATCATTAAATTACACATAGTTGGCTATATACTACATTCGTTGAGTGTGGTCAAGGTATGAGCACAGTAGAGTGTATTTTGAGTTACATGTGAAGTTTATCAGTATCTGCTCTTTATTGATATAAAAAAAGGAGAAAACACGTGTTCAATAATGGTAAAACGCACATCTATAAAAAACTTTATTATTATATGAAACGTTTCAGGCAGTTTAAACCGTGTTACGTAGAAAAAAGGCTTAGACAGAATCGTTGGAGGTTCAGAATATAAAGAGATTATAAATTACGTATGTACTGTGTGGAGGACGTTAACAAAATATTGTTAGAAGGAACATTGTTGAAGCGTTCTATAAACAGTTTAAAAAATCACGTATTAAAGTGATAGAAATTGGATTTTAGAAATTAATAGGACACAGAAAAGTAATATACATAAATTCGAAAAATTGATAAAATATTAATTTTAATAACAATAATAATAATGATCAGGAAAATATGTGTAGACTGTGTCAAGTTAACAGGGGTGGCGAAGCCTTTTTTTCTAAATAACACGGTTTAAACTACATGACGAACGCTTCTGCCCAAAACGTCGCAAATAATAATGTTTTTGTCATAGATGTGTGTTTTACCATTTCTGAACACCTTTTTCCCCCATTATTTTTCCATGTCTTGCGGTCTTTTCTACTGTGTGTGTTTTTTTCTTTACTGATGTATAACAGTCATTTTCTCTATTTGGGTATCCAACAGTGGCTCAGAGGTATCTCTGAGGTCTTTTAACTCTAAAAATCGGGTTTGATACCCCCGGTGGGCACAGCACAGATAGCCTATTGTGTAGCTTTGTGTTTAACAACAAAAGAAATCACCTATCTGGAAATCTGTCTGACCAGTGTACATTCTATAGTATCACTCTAGTGACTCACCACGTATCTATCTATTAATTAAAACGTCTTTTATCGACGTAAAAACGAAAAGATGTATTACCAATAGTTTGGTCATAGGAAGAACGAGCTTACAACCAAATTGGTTTTTGTACTTTTAAATGTATATAAATAATTATAAGAATAGCACTTTTACTTGATTATACTGGAGCTACGTAGCACCTGTTTTATTTATATGTAGTTGATTTGTGGCTTGAATATTCTATTGATTTTTTAAATTCATATTTGCTTACAATTGTCTCATTG